ATCAATATCAATTCCAACATGTCGGCTCTTACCATTACAGTTTTTAAGGCTAAAGTCACCTGAACGAAATTTGCTGAAACATCGTTGACACTTATGAACATTCAAAACATTTCCATAAACTTTTTTGATATTCTTATTGGCTACAGAGGCATTGTTTCCCTTCTTGTATTAAAACAGCATTACATGCCAATTGTGTGTCTTGTCGTGTGCCATCACTATGAGGGATTAGAGTACACTAAACTATATATATTATATAGGCTACATTAACGTGACGTTTAGGTGGTTTGTTTAACTGTTATACGTGACGTACATTTTTTAAGGGGTGGTTAATGAAAGTTTTCTAAAATGTGATATTAATTTCTTGAAGACCTAATACATTTACTTACTCAAATGAATAACTAAACTTGGTCTATTCTTTTTATATATTTATTTGGAAGATTGAGCCACAATTATGCTTTTAGTACATCTAAACTATTAAAGGATACCAAAATGCAAAATATGAGTCATTAGTCAAAAAATCATTGTGCTACTAGAAAAATGCAAAACACAAAAAACAAATGGTCACTGTGCATGCTTGAGCAGTTTTAATTTGCTGCAGATAGGTCAGATAAACAGAAAAAATTGGTCCTTGTTCACATGAGTGCTTCTAGCCTTATGCAATATCTCCATCAGTTTGGCATTTCAAGTTATAGCTGATGTTTTAGTATACTTCTCAGCAGTTTAACCACGCATAAATAAAAACTAGTGAGACACACCTTCATACACTATAGGCTCCTGGCTCTGGAAGGCCACTAAGGTTGGTAGGTTTTTGACACCATATTGAGAAGCCTTTTCTTCATCATCAAGTTTCACAAAAGGAATGTTGTGTCTGTCTGTGTCATCATCAATATTTTCGAGTTCTGTCAAGACTCTTGTGCTTTTTTTACTTTCTTTATCATCTGGAAAAAAGGTTTTATGAAGATAAAGATTGTGTTTTGCAAATTCAAAATTGAACAACAGTGGCATGGTTAAAGTAAAATATATATTGAAATTAGCTATAATTAATCTATATTTAGTATTAGGAAAGCACACCTCTGTCTAATAATAGGCCCATCTCCACTGAATTTTCATATGAATCCGATCGTATATTACCATGTTGGGTTTGCAAATGTCCCAAATACAGGAACAGCTACATAAATGTCACAAGAAATAAAGCTCACAGTCCTTTTAAAAAGGAGTGGTTATTGGATATATCATTGGTGGTATCAATGTTTAAGAAGTTCAGCCCAACAAATAAAACTAAGATGATGAAATTGAATGCTGCCTTGAAGTTATAATTCCTTGGCTAATAAGCCAATTATCACAATTATTAATGCAAGGAGTCAAGTTTATGGTGTTTGTTTTGAGTGCCAAAATTGGGATGAAGAACACTGGAAAGCTATCATGTGGAGTAATATATCTCACTGTTTATTCTTTACTTCACACAGATTAGTCTGAGTTTGGTGATAGCCTAGAAAATGTTTTGAATATGAATGTTTTAGATATACTACCCCAATCATAAGTGATGGGGTAGTATCCTCCTGTGGACCTGTTTAGGCTAGGATGAACTTTACTGGTGACTGTTAAGTGAGCTAAGATTACCTTGTCATTTTGTGACATTCTGAGCAATATTGAATGATAATGCCCCATGCCATACTGCACACTATATCAAGCAGTGGTTTGAGACAAGTATAATATCTAGAATGTGCTTTGACTAGCCCAAAGTCCTGACCTGAATACACCTAAATGCTCTGTGGCATTTTGGAACACAGCCCAAGAAATAGATATAACACATCCCAAAACCTCATTACTCTTTGATCTGCTGGCAGTCTATTCCATCTGATGTGTACTAATGATTGGCAGTAAATAATAATAATAGCTTCCGATCAGAATAAGATAAGTACTTACAACAACAAAACTAAAAATCAACCTGGCCATCAGTATAGCTAATTAAATAAATCTTTTCTACGTTTCTTCTAATAAAGATTAGAATGCATTGTTTCATCATTTTGGTAACCTTACTGTTAATGATATTTTCAATCATAATCTAATAATATCTCACAAAGTTCAGACAGATTAATAGAATTAGATTAGTCCCAAACAATAGGCACTATTTTAAGTTAACAATCTTTATAGTAAAAATATATTACCAAACAATAAATGAAAATAAAAAGTAACAACATTCCACATACCAACTACTATAATCAATACTGTTAATGAAAGTAACAATACATAAGCACTATAGCATTTTAGAAACTAAACTTATTACCTATTAAAATAGGGCATCAGTTGAAAAATATACCAACTTCTTTTTTCAATGTTTGCTATCCAGATATTATTGTCAATATATTATACATAGTTATTAATTTCTAAATTTTTTAAACAACTGTTTTGTAATAAATTTTACAATGAAATACATGGATGTTTAACAGAATTAAAAATTCAAAAATGAAATAGCTGGTTTAAACAGAATTGTTTTCAAAAGCTTCATACTATAAACTAAAATTATTCAAATTTTCTACAAGTGAAAGCAAAATTTGAAATGAAAATGTGGCCTTACAAAATAAAACAGCCAACAAGTCATTCTTCTTAACCAGTTTGTCTAAAACCTCATCTGTGATATCTTCTATTTCATCGCTGGATTTTTGTTTAATAAGCCACTTCAATACTTCTTCTTCTTTGGTAAGGTCACCTGAGATGTGATTTTTCAAGGTCAATAAACAAACAGTTATCTCTAAAATAGGCAACATTCACAATCTTGGTCACTTATAATATACTTACTATTTTTGATATTATTTCATTTGATTTTTGTACAATCTAACAGTCATTCATTACACCATTTAGTAGCATACCTGTTTCACAAGCTGTCTCTCAGTATTTAATAAAATCTCTAACTTTGATCAACTCACTTACCTAATATCTAAGGATGATAACTGAATTGTCATATATTCCATTTGTATGTTTTATAATATGTAGTAATATCATTTGAACGTTCTTCAGTTTACCTACCTGCACAGTTTAAAAAATTTTGTTAGAAGCTTTGCATATTTTCATGTGGCTGCCATATCAAAACATGTAGGGCTTTAACCAAACTTGTCAAACTGTGTACAAATAAATGTTGTGTTTTATTTAATTTATGTTACTTAACTGATTTTAATATAAATTCAGTTGTCATACATTAACTGGTAGATATGTGTATCTAAATGGTTGAGAAAAAATCAAGCCACTTATATGTTATGTATGCTGTCTCTAAATTGTGCCAGAGGACTCACTATGTGTGAAGAAGTTACAAAATAGAGCTACAGTTATGTAGTTAATAAAATTAACCTTCAGTGTCATTAACTTTGTTAAGAATATTAAGTTCCATATCCACTCCTTGATTATGCCTGTGTTATTTTAAAGTGATCAATTTATAAGACGCACAGCTGAGAGAGAGTGTAACATTATAGCAGATTTCACAATTGTATTACATACATGTGCAGATGGAACCCAATATAACAAAAAGAAAGAGAATTATGTATAAAAAAGACATCTTACCTTCATAAAAATTTGGAATCTTATCTTCAAAGTAGACAAGTGTAGGAAGATGATCAATGCCGTATTCAGCTGCCACTTTATCATCATCAATCTTTACAAAAGGAATACCTTCTTTATCAGTGTCATCATCAATGTCTTCTAATTCTTGCAGAATTTTCTTGCTCTTTTTAGAATCTCCATCATCTGTTTTTGAGATAAATTTGTACATTTTTGAAAATTAAATAGTTTCCTTCACGTAGGCAGATACAAAATGTAAAAACACCTATGGTACAAAAAAATACAGGTAAGTTGCGGTTTCTGTTCCAGGTTATTTAATATAATAGGTTGTAATTCTGTGAATATTAAATGGAAGATAAACTACTCACTTCTAATAAAAATGCAAGTTTACATTGTAAGTGATATACCTGTTTATGAAAAACCTAAATAAAACTAAGACAATCTACTCTTGTAAACGTTTTCTAAAGATTCAAGTTATTTTTATATATAAAACCAGAATTATAACTTGTGCATTTGATACTTTAAGAAACTAGAGCTGATTCATAAAATATCAATGCAAGCATTGATTTTAAAAATAATAACTCATGAAAAAAAACAAAGTACTCATTCGTGAAATAAGTATTCATATAGAAAATTCAAGTTTATTAAAATAAAATGTTTACTCATAAGATTGATATAGTCAATAAAATTACAAATAACATCAAACAAATAACTATCTTGCTGGATATTTAAAACTATAATGATTATAATTTTATAAGTTTAAATTTGTTTTTAAGCTACACATTTATGTGCAAATAATTAAAAGTATTCATATTATATGAGAAATTTTGATATCAATATTCATTCTTGAATTAACTTTATTTAATGAGAAAAATGGATAAAACAAACTGTTCTGAAATTCTTTGACTGCTGAAAATTTTTAACAAAAAGACTGATACTCTGAATCATAGCTTTTCTCAACAGGTGGTCTGCAAAGAGCTTGACAAACAATAATTTTTACATGTACTTTAAAATACAAATATATCCTAGTTTTTGGTGATTTCACCTGATCCGTATTAGTTCATTTAATCACATGTGAAAGTTACTGTTAGGTTTAGTTGGGGTCTGCAAGGACTTTGTATATATTGAAAGGGTCCACAGAGCTCAAATGTTTGAGATTCAGTGCATTAAATGACACCCTTGTTATGTATAAGGCAAAAGTCCTTAAATGCATATTTTGCAGTTAATTCTGAAACACACATAAAAAAAGACTAATTACTTACAGAATAAGACAGCTAAAAATGGAGATTTTTCAATCAAAGAGTCAAGGGTTTTGGCAGAAACATCTTCAATGACATCTTCTTCCTCTCCTAAGTCTCTGAATTCAACCAACCAACTGAGGACATCTTCCTCATTGTGAAGATCCCCTGGATATATTAGAATAAATTCATCAGTAAAAAAAAATATTCTAATTATATCTTAAAATATTTGTCTTGTAACAGTTTCTGTAATGAAATGTATACCTTCTTGAGTATGGGTTTGGCAATTAAAGTATTTAAATACTAAAATATCTAATTTTTAATGTTCTTTGATAAATCATCCAATTTTGAGAATATTTTCAATAACGACAACAGTAACAGACTCTATCAATCTGAAAAAAACTTCTTCAAAGAACTAGATATACAATATTTTATAGTCAGCAGTGTTGAAAATTTAGTCTAATGAACAGAATTGTTGAAAATAACTACTTTAGGAGAACCTTTTATTCACTGAATGCAATTATTCAATTAATTTCAGAAACAATAATCAAAACTGGCACTATAATCAAACCAGTAAATGATCAAATCTAAATACCAAATATGAGAGTATGTTCCAGGATAAATAGCACATGTAAAACAAGCCGAAAATGTCATCCATTCTTACATCTGTACATGTGAAAGGTGCACATAAGTGATGAAATACCAATTCTTGAAACTGTGTTACAGTACAATTTTCTAGACTCTATTACATGTTTTGTTTTATATTTGGGGTATATATTATACTTTTCAGACTCTTTCTTCAATGTCAATACCAAAATTTATGCAATTTTGAGTCACAAAGAAATATGTACAAATATCTGTTACCAGTTAAGAATGATCAACATTTGATCTTTTTAATACCACCAATTGTGATCATTCTTCATTAATCAAGTCTTTTAACATCCTTTAGTTACAAGATATGCTTCATATTCTTACATCACAAGTAAAATTTTCAAAGAAAACCTCATTTGGTTTTCCTTGTACAAAATCCCACAATTAAAGAAATGTTCAATAACTATATTATTTCTACTAATCACTTGACAAGCACAGAAATTAAAGTGGCTTTACCATCATACAGTAGTGGAATCCTTTTTCTGTAGTAAACAAGAGCTGGTAAATCCACCAGATTATATTCTGATGAAAGACCTTCATCTGCTATCTTCACAAATGCAATGCCCTGTTGATCTGCATCATCATCAATGTTCTCTAGTTCTTGAAGTACAGTGTCACATTTCTTACATCCCTTTTTATCTAAAGTTTCAACAATATTAAGATTTTAGTCTAGATACAGCCCTGATGCTTACTACTAAATTCTGTCACATACAGACTCACATACTAATAACCTTTTACATTATGTATTAAATTTAAATGTGCTTATAATTATTGTTTAAAGTTACATTCACTACTAAATTACATTTGTTCTTAAGATTTCACACAAAACATTTAAGTATGAATATTAAATATAATTACTATAGTATAATATTACATAAAGTCTTACACAATAACAGCAGTTTAGTAGTTTTGAATGCTTTAATTACTATTCAATTTAATTAACATCTTAGGTTTTGTATATCAGGTAATTATTTTCCAATAAAGTTCCTGAATATATTCATAACCAAAGACTTGCAACAAATCAAACAATTATAATATTTTTTTATAAAATTGCCAAGAGTCCTCATTAAACAACTAACTTGGTATGTGTAATCTTATTTTAAAGACTGGAGTAACTTGTATTGTCATGAAGTTGTCTCAAAGATTAATACATAAGTATTAAGGAAGATTTTTGGACCTGTTACTGTGACAAATAAAAAATAATGCTGAATGGCTAATTGCACAGTGGCTAAAATATATTTGTTTTTGAAAGTAAACGTAGCCATAATAATTCCTGCTGTAAATATATTTTATCTTATGACACATGAAAACCCAATTGACATTTGATTTTTTTGAAAGTCTGTAAAAAAATTTTTAACTACTATCTTAAGCAGAGTATATCCAGGTTCATGTAAAATGTATTTTAAAACCTGTTTCTTAAATAAATTAAAAAGTGATTTAAATATGTGATACCCAGGAGTAAGGTTTACTAGTTTTAATTTCCTTGCTGTATTAAGGAGAGTACTTGCTCCACTACTAATTGGTTGTCAACAAAAATTAAAAAGCACACACAATCTGACATGGAACACCACATGAATTACATACACAACACAAAACATAGAAAAGTTTCCTTCAGCAAGGATAACTTCCAACTTTTATTTTGCTTGAACTTTATGCCCTATTGCTTTTTGCATCAATCCCTCTTATTTTTTCATCTCCAGGGGTAATTTCTCATATTTCATTAACAAATCAGGTTGAACAGTTGTAGCTGTGGAATCAGTGTCTATTAGCATACTGCAAAGTTTTTTATCATAAGCCTGTTGACTTGCGGATGATTTTTCTCAAATAATGAGATTTTTTTCTCATTTAGAATAAATGAAATATTCCCAATTGTTGATTCTTTACAGTACCTCTTTGTAGTATGCTCTGGGAGGAGTTCTTGTTCCATGCAAACTTTACAGTTTCTCACAATATGTTCTTTCAAGTTATACTTGACACACCTATTTCCTCTGTTCAGTTTAACCAGTTGTCTGATTAATTCTTTCTGTTCTAGATTATCCTTAGGGGAAATTGATATTTCAATACTACAGGATCTAATATTCCTGTAACTTCATGATGACCCCATTAGTAGTTTATCTGTAACTTTGATGGATTCCAGTTCCATCTCCAACTGCAGAACTTCCTTTAAAGATGTACATCTAGTCTGCTTTAGACACTATGGCATCTTTAAATTGATCACATACTAAGGACTCTATCACCTCACGAGGACCATCTGGGTAAGACACTCAGGTAAGCTCTTCCAAGTTTTCTGGAAGTTTGGCTAAAGTTTCTTCTTTCTTTTGTACTCTGCTTTGGAACCATGGAACTTCTTGCTGACATGACACTACTGAACCTGTTAGTTACGGTGGTTACCAAAGCTTGATATTTGTTATAATACTCAGCTGGATGGTTACTTAGTGATGTCAAAGCTGGTCCCTTTAAATAGACAATAAGACGGATGGTATGTTGTTCATTACTCCATCCATTCACTTTTGAAAGTATTTTGAACTGAGCCTGGGATGACTCCCATTGCACCTTCCAACCACAGTCCATTAGTTTCTCTACTGGTCGATGTTGAACTGGTCAGGTGAATTCTGAAACTGGATTTGGTAGTGTCATGGTTGGACTAGTCCAGCAAGGTCCTACAGTAACAGGTGGTACAGCAGTAGTGGTAATAGGTGTATAGGTTTTATATTCCATACTTAGTTGTGGATAGTGTTTCTGGTTGGAACTTTCAAGCCAATGCAGAAAAAGGTGTGGATGGTTTAATCTTTGAATTTAATAATTTGTTTTCCAAATGTCTTATTCTGTCATTGATGTTATTTTCTACTTCAATATCATCTTTATTTACTTCACTTTTGACTTTGTCAATGTCCTTTGTACTTTTTTAATATTGTAATTACAGCCTTTCTATACTTCTTTAATCTCGTTGTTGTAATCTCTCTGTACTGCCACAATAGTTTTGTCTATCTTTTCTTCAATCAGATTGATTTTTATTTTCCATGCTTCTTTAAACAGTACATATCTTTCTTCTTGATCTTATTTTATTTTTCTGTAATTTTCTTCTTGGTTCTCTTTTTCCCTAAATCTTGTCTTAATAACTTCATCATTCCATTAAATGTTGTAATTTTTTCTTTTCTTTGCAAGTTCTTTTAAGTTATCAGGTGAAATAATTCAAAGTTCAGTTACTTATGATATGAAATCAGTTTATTTCCTCCTCCTTTAAATGTTTCTATAAGGTTGAAGTTGAATACAGCTGTAAAATGTTGTAAATTGTTTAGCCCTACAAATGACATCATACATCTTTAACAACAGTACTACGATTAATACACAATCAATCGAGTTATTTGTACAGAATAACATCATAACTTTCTTTTATCTAAACTTTTGTTCAACTCAACTCACTTTATGCTCCACAAAATTTTTTATTTATAATCTAGATTCAAAAGTTCTAGAACAATTTATATCACATCCTTAGTTTTCTAGAAGTTTTAGGCCTATTTTAACTTCCCAATCTTAACGTTATTACCAATAACCCACAGCTCCCTCTAACAAACAAACAAATTACAACATTAAAAGTATAAAGCTTACAACAATATACAGCACAAAGTGTAAATATTTGGAGCTAGACTATGTGTTGAACTTAGCTAAGTTTTCTCTGTCTGACGGTAAAATGATTATGGGAACATAAACTTGCATTTTTCATTACATATACATTATGAAATATTTGTTTAACAGGCCTGTTGGAATCAAGCCACATGTAAGAGATACTTATGAACTCTGTAGAAAAGTAAACATACATCTATAATTATCTCAACAAGAAACATAAACTAAAAGCAACTGTTTTGAATAAAATAATTTATATTTTGATGAAATATGCAGGTCTTCCATAAGAAAAACAAAGGTATAGTAAAATAAAATTACCATTTGGAACACAGAATCACACTCTTAGCAGTTTAAAATGCTTATTACATGAAATTCAGTTATTTTCATTTTTGCTGACATTTTGAAATCTATCTAATACCTCATCTCATATTAATTTTTTCTATGGACCAAATCATCAAGCTATTATTAAAAAGAAAACATTACAGCAGATTCTCTATCATAATCTTAGGAATATACGATTATTTATAGATATGTGCATGATTCCACACAACACCTAATTGTTACATTTTACTATCTTATACACAATTTATAATTTAACATAAAATTTGATTTAATTACTAAATGTGTTTATTTGATAATACTACAAAAAAGAACATCTACCTGCATGCAATAAACTGAAGGACCAAGATATTAAAGCAATTATACCCAGTACTTCAAACTGGGAGATCTAAGTTACATCCTTGCTGTAATAATAAAATATAGTCACAGTAAAATGATCATTTTTAAAATGTTGTTTTGTAATTTCAAATTTAGAAATGTAAAACATATATAATTTAGGAATCACAAAGTATGTTTCAAAATTTTCCTCCTCGAAGTCTCTAGCATTACATGTTTATCTCACTTTACACTCAGACAAAAATAGAAGCAAGGCAAATCTCCAAACATTTCCCCCTCAGACTAAAAATAGTTTGGGTCTAGTACATTGTCCATGATACATCAGCATGGGATTGGAACTAAACAATTCATTCAAACATAACCCTGAACAAAAAATGTAAGTTAAAAATGTTTAAAAACAACCAGAGTTACATATATTTTAATCCTGATAACATTTTATTAGGAAAATTAACATGATTACAGCATATATATATATATTAGTCTACTGTACTATGATCTATAATACAAAATATTTAAATTATCTTTATAACAAAACTTTTTATCACTGTAAAGATATAACAAGTAAGATGATGAATACAGAATATTAAGAATTTTCAATGAAACTACTTACAAACTTCTCTCTCTGAATTTTAATCTCATCCTTGAATCTTTTATACTTCCTTAAACTTAATTGATATTTTAGCAAATAAATTGTTCAAAAAAGTACAGAATATCATCTTCTCATTTTTAAGTATTTTCCAAAATTTGGTTCCACTTATCCATATAATTTTAACTTGCATAAAATAAACATGATAAAAAAACTGCTGACATAGTGAGGCATAGCAAAAAAGTTTTTCTACATATATAATTATAAACTAAATTATTAGTTTAAAACTATAGAGAAAGAATAAAATTAAGGTTTGCAATAAAAAATAATAATGTAGTAACAATTTTCAGGAAAGTTTTTTCTCAAATATAACTGTATTTCTAAAATATGTTGCTGAAGGTTTAGAGATTTGAATAATGTAAGTTATAAAATAATGGCTTTAATTTAAACATCTGCTTTAAAATACATACAGAATAGAACAGCTACATAGTCAGTTTCATCAATAATCTTCTGAAGAAGAACTGGGTTAACTTCTTCAATTTCATCTGGCAGTTCCATTGAATCCAAGTCAGTCAACCATTTGAGAACTGCATCTTCATCCATAAGATCTCCTGTTAAAGAACACTAGACTGTATTAATATTCAAGCCATTGCAGACTACATCTCCATCCATAAAGTATGCTATTAAAGAACAATAATCAAAACTTATACAACAAATCCACCAAGGACCCTTATTTTCATTCATAAGGTCTGTCGTAAAATATTAATTAGTACTTACACTACAGCCAATTTTATCTATAAGCTTTACTATCTGTTCTATTTACACTCAAGCTCATTTAGAATCATATTTTCATCTATAAGGCATCTAGTTTAACAATACTAATAGAAAAGCAGGACATACAATATTATTGCCACAACAGATGTGCCATTTCTCTTGGATAATGCAAGAAATATTTATTCAAATAATGATGTATTATTTTGTATGGTTACTTACAAAAACGTTTTTTTTTATGATTGGGTACAGTTTTGTCCTTTCTGATATTTCTGTTTATACTAACTTATGTATCATGAATCAGACTATTAATGAAATCAGACAGAGTTAATTTTTAGTAAAGAATTTACTATTTTGATGTCCTTATTACCTATGGGTCACATTGTTGTAGTTTCTATTACCACTTGGCTCCTAATCTTATTGTTCTTTGACATTTTTGCTATTCTAACAGTGTTGCAAAGTACATGTTTTTCAATCAAATGACTTCCATATGCATATATACAAGTGTTTATTTCAAAAACAACTCTGCTTCAGTTTTATCTTTGCGGGTCTTTCACTTTCACTTGTTTCCCATTCAGGAGAGGCTTACCAGCAGGAGTTGATTAGGTATTCAGTATCTGGTTTCACTGGTTGCTATTTCATTCTAGATTCATGTGTGTAAAGTTTTCTTTATTTGATGTCTGTTACACCTACTCAGACTGCTAATGTAATGTTCTTCTGTGAATCAGCAATAATTTATGGGATTCCAGTGCTGAAGTTCAGGTATTCACTTATCTATGATGGATGGAGCACAGACAGCTTATTGTAGCTTTGAACTTGAACACATAAATTTTTTGGCAACCTGGCATCTATGTAAGTGAGGTGTATCTTTATCACTCACTCACTGACTCTGTTCTGGATGACTCCTCTGTCTTGACTTTAGGGTGTCATCTCAGACTTTTATTTAACTTCATGTGCTTTGAATTAATCAGTTTCTTCACATTTTTTTATTCCTCATCTATGATTCATCTCTTCCAATTCAGACCTTTACTACATCAAGTAGAGATTGTGGTTGTACTTTATGTTACCTCAGGACTTCTACTCCCATGTGTTGGTGGTCTCACAGACAACAGGAGATTTGCCACAGACCTTTCCAGTCTCATTTGTTACAAAAATCCACCTCATTTCTATGTGGAACCTGTGTGAATCACATGACAATTCCTTCATCAAGGTTTTTTGATGACAAATGGAGGTTCACATGCCTCTTTTATACACATACTGATCCATCTATCTTCATTTTTCACATGATGAAATGATACATCCAAGTATAACCCTCCATTTTGATCTGAATTAGGCTCTCTATTTATTCACATGTGTAGTCACACATTTAATTGGTCTCCTATACATATTCAATATGACTGTCATCCTTACATGGATGATTAGGGGACATTTGCTCACTAGTTACCTCACACTGCATTGCCCTCCCAGTACACTTCTGCTTTGGGTTGGACTGTCCAGGTCTTAGCTTATGCCTACTCAATATCTTTTCATCTAAGATGCTGTATTAAAATTATTCTCTTGAACTTTTCACCCTTCTCCTTGGGTTTTGAAAACCCCCAAGTTTCACATGCAAATATTTCTCCATCTGTCAATCACATACTCTCTGATTTGGGAATGATGGTTTCTCTTTCAGTGGTGGATATTCCATTCTCACATTCTTGGGTTGTTTCACATGCATGTAGGGAGTTACTGCTCTTGTTACCCTACTGCCAAATTCTTGTACTCTTCAACACTTTGACTGTGGTGACATATATTAAGAGGTTAGGTGAAACTCTTAACAGCATTTGCTTACTGTGATTTCTTTGAGCATTTTTGCAGCTCCATTTACACAATGCCTTTCTTTGAGCTGATACTTCTTGGGTTGTCCTCCATTTGATGCTTATGTGATAGCTGTGCATAATCAACTGAAGCTACTCGTTTTCAGGTCCAATTTCTCAAGTGGTAGCTTTGAGCTTGTTGGAAAACAAATTATAGCTACACCTTCATTTTTTTCTTTGTTATTGACCAAGATTAGTTGATCCCATTTTCCAGTTCTTCTTTCCTAGGTTGGTCTGCTCTATCATTGGGTTCCACTTCTATTATCTATCTGAAAGGAATCCTATGTATGTATGTGTATATCTTGGTATGTAAAAGTGGATGCATGTATGTTTATCACACCAGAAAAAAAAAGTCTAAACTTTCGAACATCACACACCTCTGCATTAGTCTTAGACACATTCACATTCCACTTTTTACAATGATGCTCCATGAATGTGTGTTGCCCTATAGATGAAACCACTCAATACAGTCTCTTCTTATGTACTGAGAATTTGTATCTATATCAATTCATCCAGTTAGAACTCTCACATGTTCCTTAACCTCTGCTATATCTCCATAAAACCCTATTCATACATCTTGGGGTGTCTGGAGTTCTGATATTTTGTGATGTATAGCAAGAGAGAGCGTAAGAATGTATATATATCATGAAAAAAACAATATAAAATGTAGGGACTCTCTCAAATCACATACACTTTTGTGTTCCATGAGAGAGCATTGCTCTTCAGTAGTGGATTAAGGGTGCCATCTAATGCTTCAGCCGGAACTTTTCCCTTTTCCATGTGTACATCTTTTTATGGCACTGGAGATTTCACCTGATGTCTTTGCTCCAACCAAGATGGGATTAATCCACGTTTTCTTTTCGTTTTTTTATGTCTTCATGTTCCCATTTTTCTGTCCTTGCACTATTGAGCCCATCTTTGGGGCCTATGTGAGTTTTCCTTGGTTCTCCCTGGGTATCCCTAATTTGGCTAAGATGTAACTCTCTAGCTATTCTAGATATGGGTGAAGAGGGTTTACTGCCTCTAGAATATATCCTCTCATAATATCTGTCTGATTCCCAGAAAACCTTCTACTGAAAGAGCAGGATATAATATTACTCTTATCTGTTTATGTGACTAACCATATTCCATTGTTGGTTCTACCAGTGCTATATACACACACTACTACCACTCTTAAAACCAACCCCTGTAGCACTATCAAGAAGGGTGTCATGGACAAAGAGGTATCCTGTCAGTTGAGAAGAAAGCCTTCTTTCTGAGTGTCCATTAGGTTCAGTTTTTTTTTTTGTATGGTTGATCCACTCCACTCATTCTTCCTAGACTTTACTTCTAAGAATTTGTTTCTCATTCTGGATTCTACTTGACTGTGCTCAGCTACAATTCTTTTGTAGTCTAAATAGCTTGTCTTTCTTAACTATAGTTGTGGCTCATCAGTTTCACCTTCTATACAATGTGAGTATTCTAGCTTTCAGTATTTCAAAGGTACATAAGTCTGATTTTAATTTAAAATTTTTAGAATTAAAATTAATTTCAAACAGTTAGTTATCTCTGAAATATCTTCACTTCTGCTTCTCCCCAACGAAAGCTGCAATTTTCCTGCATTGAAAATATACTTCAGACAGGTACTTACTTATGCTCAAATACATAGCTATTCTCTTTCAGTGCTGCCCTCTATTTGCAAAAGAGATTTTTGCATCCCACAAGCCTTTCACTCCCACATACTCTCGGTTCACATGGTTTAACTGAATCTTGCACGTAAATTATCATGCGACAAACCTCCACCAATAGACATACTCCACATACACACACAGGTAACTCATGTGATTCTCTCTGTGCCATTTTACCTAACTATCACTTTAAGTTTGGCAGAAACCTAAGCACTGGTTGACAGTGGGAAGGAAGGGTGGGCAGTGTGAGTGGAAGTAAGTACCTGTTGGAAATATATTTTCAATGAGGATTATATGTGGTAAACTGCACCACTTCTGTATTAGGTATAGTCTTTGCCGAGATGTAGAAAAGGTATGATAGATCTGGGTGGAAAATTGTGAGGAGCACATCCCAATGGGAGAGAAAACAATTAAACGGTGACTCAAACCACAATATATCATACTTTCAATCTCCTTGATGAACAGTATGTGGGTAAAGTAAGGGATGTGCCCCATGATGTACAGTGGATAGGATACAATGGACTGTACATGACAAGTCAACTGCATGCCAGGAACCAACATCCATGCAGGGGTAGGAAAGAGGATCATATCATCTTCACCTCAAGTTCAGCTGACTGGAGGGAGAAATACCATTACCAATTGGGGAACAGGGAGCATGTGAGCAGAGCAAAATACAAATATTGCTTGGATATGGCTTGAATGGGTAATGAAGAAAAACTTTAATATAAGTTTAACATAACAGCAAATGTACAACATTTCAACAAGGTTTCGTCATCATCAGGTATTCATAATGTTCTGTTGTTGGGCTTGTTAGTATCAATTTTGTTCATGAGTTGAGTTTTGTTGAGGTGAATGTTGGAGAGTTTTTCAACAATAGCAGGTGAAAATTTATTGGTGTGAATGAAGGAATACTTTATGTGGTTAATTTCTTCATTTATGTAGTCTGTTGACAGAGTCTTGTGGCTGTGTTTATGAGGTTTTCAGTGTATTGGTTTTTTGTGTGGTGTCATGAGAGGAATTCCAGGAG